ACTCCAGGAAATACCTCAAGGAGTCAGTCACTAGTGAGCACCTGATTATTATCAGAAGGGGTTTTGTGGAGATTTTAGTATTTTTATAGAGTTGAGATCATGAGTCAATTGAAGCTAGACTACCATGGAAAACCTGGAAGCACTGGACGGCCGTTTCGTCCTATTATGGGACTCCTCGTGAATCAGTTGAAGTTAGAAATTAACACCGTTGGATGCCAGCTCAGTGGTCTATCGGTTAAGGGCTTCGGCTCGAAACTGGTAGGTCCTGGGTTCGAATCCCGCGAGAGTGGGTTCGTGGACGCGCACTGCTGAGGAGTCCCATAATAGGACGAAACGGCCGTCCAGTGCTTCCAGGTTTTCCATGGTAGTCTAGCTTCAATTGACTCATGATCTCAACTCTATAAAAATACTAAAATCTCCACAAAACCCCTTCTGAGAACATAATTGTAATGTTAAACATATTGATTTCAGTCATAATAACGATTCATGTGAAGTAAACAGGTTGAATAAAAGAAAAGGTCAAATTACTTGTTGAAGAATATTTGCCAAGTGGTAGCTAGCTGAATACCATCCTTTCTGTTTAGGCTGTTCTTATTCGCCCATATATACAGCGCTTCTGCTGTCAATCTTTCTTTGTGAGTGTTGAAACCTTTCTGAAGTATTTTGGCCCCTTCAAAATTAATCATGTGTCCCGTTTCCAACGCATGTAACGCTATTGCAGACTTATTCTCAAGTTCCTTTAAGTCAACCGAGGTTTTTGGGAACGTTTTTTAAACACTGTTTGTGTTCCTTCAATTGTCTGGATGTTTCTCCAATATAAGCCGCATTACAACCATGACAATTGATCTCATAGACAATATTTTGTTGTTCTTCCTTTGGTAACCTATCCTTAACCTTCAACAATGACGATCTTATAGTGTCACATGTTCTAAAATACACTCTTATATCATGTTTGTTTAAAATCCGTTTGATTTCCTCCGATGTTTTGCTACGGTATGGTATGACTACAGTGGACTTCCAATCTTTCTGTACATGTTGCAGTTTAGCTTTTCTTTCCTTTCTAACAATCTTCTTTAAAAACTCTTTTGGGTAGTTGTTATCCCTAAGTGTAGCTAAAATCCTATTCAATTCAAATTGTTGGTCTTCTTTATCTGTAACAAGCTTCAGACTTCTGTTAATTAAATTTTTAACAACTGTGACTTTCGTACATAAAGCATGCGCCGAATCAAAATCTAAGTATCTATCTGAATGTGTTGATTTTTTGAAAACATTTATTTTCAACTTCCTATTATTAAGTCTTCGTTCAACCATACAGTCGAGAAATGCCAGTTTGTGGTCATCAGACTCTATTTCCTTCGTTAGATTAATTTGTTCCGAAATGTTGTTAACATTTGCAAACAATTCTTCCAAATAGTCCTGTTTAATGATAACAAAAATGTCATCTACATACCATAGCCAGACCTTTGGTGGACAAACACTTCTTGCGATTGCACTAGTTTCGAGTGAATGCATGAATAAATTCGCAACAATCGGAGAAACTGGTGAACCCATAGCTATACCTTCTTTTTGTCTGTATAGATCTCCTCGAAATATGAATAAGGTGGACCTTAAACATAGTCCCAAACACTTGATAAACTCAGATGGATCTAACGGGCAACGTAAATGTAAATCCAAATCAGATTCTAAACAAGCATAAATAATATCCAACGCTCTGTTGATAGGTACGTTAGTAAATAAGGAAGAAACATCAAAACTTGCCATTACTTCTTCTATGTCGATGGTATCAATAATATTTTTAAATTCCACAGAGTTTTTAATTCCATGATTAATCAATTTCTCATACGGTTTTAGTATTCTAGCTAAGTATTTCGCTAGGTTGTAAGTCGGTGAATTTGTGAAATCGACCACTGGTCTTAGTGGAGTACTATCCTTGTGAATCTTAGGGAGTCCATAGAATCGACAAGGGTTACAACTTTTTGGATTTAGCATAAACCATAAAGGCGTTCCGAGCTTGACCTTTAACGAATGTAAGATTTTACTTGTTTCCGCCTTAAGTTTATTGAGCGTAGTTCTGCTTTTTTCAACTTTGATTAGTTCATATGGTCCCTCTTGTAGATGTTCCTTTGCTTTTTTCTCGTAGTCCAATTTGTTCATGATGACTGTAGTGTTACCTTTATCTGCTTTTGTAATGATAATTGTCTTATCATTTCTTAGTTGCTTTAATGCATGCAACTCATTTTTAGTCATATTAGATTTTTGACGTAATAACACGGACATTATCTTATTCCTCAATTCATTCGCTGTTTCATTAGGAAGTATGTTCAATGTTGGTTCGATTGCTGGTATAATATTGAAAGACGATAAATGTGGTCTATTTATATTGAAATTGAGACCCTTTTTAAGTAATGAAATTTCATGGGAGTTGAGAATTCTATCAGATAAATTAACTAACACTTTGTTAATATCTACTGTGTTCGATTTATCTCTAGTTTGTTTCACTTTGCTGTTTGACGCATGTTTCAACATTTTTTCGAACTTTCTAATCTGTCGTAGTTTTGATGATTGATGATAAAACTGTTCTCTGAGTTTGAAAAATTCACTTACATTAGATATTATTTCTTTAGGTGTGATAACGGACAGAATTTCATCGATATTCTTTACCCTTGAACGTAGTGACTCCAAATTCATAGTGGCTATGTGAATACGTTCCCTGATAAAAGTTCTAGTGGCTGTGATCGCCGCTTTGATTGAACGAATAGATTTGTCAGGAGATAAATAACCAATAAATACATGGATTAAAGTTCAACGTTCGGTTTATTGAAAAAGCACTTGCAATCGTCTTTACTTGAATTTCAATAGATTTCGTTCAATCAGTTGGTAGGGTAGAAAGGTTATGTACCACTAAGAAACTGAAGGAAGAATTGAGGAACATTGAGAAATATTTGAAAGACAACTCCTACCCACAGAAATTCACTTAAAAGTGTAAAACAAAACCCGAAAACAACAAGACGGACGAAGTCACAGTCATTAAAAAAAATAATATTTATGAATCTTAACTTCAAATATGAAACTTCACAAGCACATTCAACACAACACTTATCACCGAGTTAGCAAGGACTTACCCTGAAGTCAAGCTAGTAATCCTGTATAAGCTATGCTTAATAACTTGATCTAAGGTCGACGAGTAACCTTTCCATGATACCGTCAACTGTGTCCAAAAAATTAAAAAAGATCTGTCAAAGCAGATACATTGTGCGAAAAGAAAAGAAGGTATACATCCGATTTTCTGAACATGTCACAAAAAGCCTTCAAACAACAGAAAGAACCACTTTAAATACCACAATTACTAAACATCTCTTGAACACAGGAACACTCGGTGTGTTTTGTCCTTTTGTAGCGACTCGAATTTGGTTAGGTCATCAAAATTTGCGTCCATTAGACGGCATTTCGGTTTGTATCGGTGAAATATAGTGATATAAGCAAGCAGGAAATGTGAGTTCTGTTTACTCCAAACACTTTTATATATAAAGCAAATGTGTAAGCTAAAACACATTACAGTATACTTTGATCACCACTCTAAACTCTGATGTCATCATTTTAACTTGTGAAATCCAGTCAAGAATTCAGTCAGGCTTAAGATTAAACATGTCCAGATAAGCATCTGGGATTCAAAATGACAATTTAATTTCTGTCTTACATATACACTAGGGTTCACATAAAATTCAGGAGGGATACACTGAACTAATTAAGCGCGGATCAAGCACTACCACATCCTTCGAATAGCATTTCTCACTCAAGTAAAACTGATCTCAAGAGTGACATACCGATTTCATATCAAAAATTGTTACGTATCAACTGATTGGAAAATACAACATTCAACATGATAAATATTTGGATTCTTTCTTCCTTTCGTTCCATAAAACCTGTAACAAAATATTTCATTGGGGTTGTAGTGAGGAGCAGAAAATTAGTAGACCACTTTCGTCAACAGTATCGTCTAAACATTTGAAGATTAACAACTGAATCGAGTGGGACTACGGTATTTATGAATAGTCTATAATGCACATCTAATATACAATCCATACTGAACTATCGTAACCAATGGTTGGAGAATCAGAGTGACATGTCTCATGATCGGTCATAATGGCGTAGGTGTATAAACTCCCCGTCTTCCTTTAAACTATGAGATTAAAAATTGCTTTATATCTTTCTTTCTACAAACTAATTCTTTCTTCCTGTACTATATCCTGATACGCAACCTTTCTGTTATATATTATCACCATTGAATTAAATACTTCTATGAATTCGGTGTTCATCTTGTTGCGCTAATGATGTATGGCAACCTGGACCGATACATATATGTGCCTGATCCTACGTTGTAGCTGACTGACTGCTCGATCCTTGATAGATGATACCATTTGCCATTCTATGGTAGAGATCCTCACATTTATTCACAAATGTAAACCGCGCACCAGTAGATGCCTTCGCAAAAGCTAAAGAAGAACTTGTCTCGAACGACTATGATCACCACTACTGTAAGATAACAGGCCCGAAATCGACTTGGTTCCTTTGATTGCTCGTAAACCAGAAGGCTGTAATTAGTCCAGATAAAGTATATTTATTGGCGATCTCGTGGTATCGAAAGAATACCGAGAAGTGCCAAAGATTACAGGCAAGAAAAGCAGAGCGTAAGAATGTTCGAACGAACAAGATGGACAGCGGAACGAGAAGTCATTTTGAAACAGTTAAACAACAACGAGTACGATAAAACAATCACTGGTACAATTGGTTATTATAATAATCGTTTCCATTATACCAATCGCGTTCTCGTCGAGAAAAGCAGGTCACTACAAACTATTTTCACAGTCACTCTATGCTGTTCTTCCGGTCCATCTATCAAAAACAGATTTCCATTCCGACAGAAGAGATTTCATCGACAGTAGTTCATAGCGTATGGAACGAAAACTGTGTACAGTCAAAAGTGACTTATACAAATTACTGTGGAATGTTAGTCATTCAAGCAAAATGAACAAAAAGAATCCAGAAAATGTTTTATTGTTTCACATAAGCAAGACGAAAATTTATGAGCTCAGTGGCATTTACATGTCATTAATTTAACACAGCACTTAGTAATAACAAATATTTTCAAATTCTACTTCTGACCAAATGATTCCCACTCGTCAATAAGCGCTTCCGAAGTTTTCCACACATGATTGCAAATTTCGTCATTTAATGCTTGAAAATTACACCTACGTGGTCGACACTCAGAATAAAATGCACCAGAAATCAGATTTTTATCAAGGGCACAAAATACTGTGGTCTGAGCACCTTCACGAGATGTTTTTGTCAACCATCGAAATAAATAGTAGACTAAAAACTAAAATTAAAACAAATCTTAGTCAAACAGTAAAAGCTGACTAGTTTACAAATGCTCATCAATACAGTATAACTCCGCTCAAACAAATGCGTTTCATCAAATATTAATCAGTAAAATCGACGTAAACGACTTCACTGTAACAGTTCCGAAATACCGTCCTACATTCTACGATAATCTGGTAGATGCATGCACACGAGTACGCAGAAACAAATCAACCACGTATATGCATTTCAACAACTCCACTTACGTCACTATTTATTCAAATACATAAATATTGTTACAAATGACCACCAAAGTAGATGTGCGTTACACAAATAAGATTGCGAAGTAAAAAAACGAAAGGAAGTATGACCAATCAAATAAATAGGAGTGAAGAAGAAGAAATCATGATAGGAGAGACGGATCAATTTAACAAACTACAATTAGAACGAATTATTTCAGGTGACAAGGTTCCTCTCACGTTCTGAAGTGTAAAAGAAAATTATAGCAAGATCTCCGCTGACGTCTCTTTTGACTCATATATGATGACCTCTTAACACAAAGACGGCCTAGATTGACGTAAACCACTTCGAGTTCTAATATTCGTAGATTGATCTCATCAGACACATTACCACCAACACCCAAACACCGACCATGAACTTTTCAAACACTTCTAAGAGTTCACTACAAACAGCAAGTGTGGGAACAGGCTTCTGTCAGTCTTTCAAAAGTACTTCGGATCTAAAAGGCCCACGCACATGTCGTACCTAAGAACATTGGTCGTCAACTGATTAAGTGCGATTTTTATAGTTGAGGTATCATCGCACCACCACAACATTTCTTCTAGAACTTATGATGCACAATAGTCGATAAGTTTGATGAGACCTATAGGGCTTTGTCTCAAACATAAGAAATAACAGACTTCACATGAAATAAAATGGCTTTTCGTATCATTTAGGAATACTACTATTTTCTAGCAATGCACACAACAAACGGAGAATTTGATGGAACTGATTCCTTAGGTTGTAATTGCACGAGCATTCTGGATTCACAGGGAGGTTAATAACTTGAACTCAATCAAAGTGTCTATACCACAAATTTTGAGAATTCCTGAAAACACTCACAATCATAAAGAAGTAATAATTCCCTTCCTATTCGACGGTTTTTGTAAAACATCAGTCGAAATAATTCAGATACAACTCTTCAATCTGTATAAATATCACTTACAAACTCATTACTTAATCCTTCTCTAGTGGTGATCATTTCGCCATACTTCCCTTCTTGGGTAACTATATTTATTTACTATTACTATGATAACTGCACAGACAGAGTTGAAGTCAACGTCATCATCAACGGTTCGGTAATAGTCTTCGTCAGATTTCGTAAAATCAGAGTGCACCTTGTAGCAACGATCAGTTAACTGCACCTTAAAAGAGCGTTTGTGTTAAGATTGTTTCCGTAAAATATGGAATACTTGTGTAATACACATTTGGGTCAACATAACCAAAAAGACAGACATCAGGTAAACATACACGGTATGCACAAACTAAAAGTTCGCTTTATAACCAGAGGAAAAACACTGGATTTAACAAATACTACAAACACCAACTCACATATTTCCATTTGCATGAACGAAAAATGGATGTTCTCACTAAGCCTGGATGAACGCTGACTGAAATAATTCCATCCTCAGACCAGCGTTTGCAAATCTCACGTGCATGAATTACATTTATCAGCTTGCTAATAGCATAACCAGAGCCTACACCTGACAAGAACCCGCTATTCGGGTGTAATTTAGCAAACCAATGTGACAAAGATGAGAGAATAATTACACGACAAGGTTCTCCATCAGAGGCTTTCAAACACGGCTTTAATAATTTAGTAAGCAGAAAATGACCCAGATGATTCACTTTCAAATGTTTCTCAGTCCCAAGCTCATCGTAAATCTTCTCCGGAAAATCTGCCCCAGCATTATTAATTAAGATGGGAATTGACTTTTCTCTATTAATGATACGATTCGCAAACTCTCGAATAGATTTTGGTGACTCCAGATCCAACTCTTCACAGATAAGCTATTGAAAACGAGATAATAATTACAAAGGTTACTCACGTCTCAATCACAATCTTTCAGCAAACAACTTTAAACAACAAATAACATCGACTAAATAAAAACTAGCGAGTCACTGAAGATGGTAGTGGAGCGGTGAAATAGTGGTTTAGGTACTCGCATTCCAGACAATACATAACAGGTCTGGATCTTGCTCCATCTAATTTCATCTGATCATGATAACCATGGAAAAAACACATCACGTTGGTAAAACAATTAGAAGTAACATACTTGATCTGGTTCCAAATGAAAACTGAGTACTGATGGCTTCTCATTACAGGTCCTAGTCAGAAGCTCCTGTCGAGCCGATTCGCACTTCCTTAGGTCTCTGCATGCCATTATAACACGGGCCACACGATGAGCCAACTCATTGACCGTTTCTAATCCAATACCAGTATTGCATCCCGTAACAATAACTGTTTTACCATCCAAACGATCCTCAAGAGTACACTCGCAATGACCGAAGTATTCTCTCTTGATAATATACAATGCACCAACAGCAACAACAATCCACGTGTACGGACAAAGGAAACATACGGAAACAAAAGAGTACAACTGATCCATCCTCGGATTTGTTCCTAAAACTGAAACATAAATTAAATTATCTATATTCACCTTCAAATATGTAGCATATGCATAGTTTATACAGCAAGCAGACGGGTTTCATAAATATTTGCATTGATTGCTCGACTGTCGTGTCTATGTTAAATGATTCAAAATCCTCCATTAGTCCTAATCAATTTGAGTCCCTTGTCACCTAGACGGGATATTTATCTGCCAACTTAAGGACCACATCCTCTTCAATAAGATTTGGGACGAAGAACAAGTACCCATAAACTGGAAAAAAGGACTTCTGATCAAGATACCAAAGAAAGGCGATCTCAGCAAGTGCGACAACTACAGGGGCATCACTCTTCTCTCAATACTAGGAAAAGTTTTCAACAGAGTATTGTTAAACAGGATGAAGGATTCCGTGGAAGCCCAACTTTGAGATCAACAAGCTGGATTTCGTAAGGATAAATCGTGCACAGATCAAATCGCAACTCTGCGGATCATTGTGGAACAATCAATCGAATGGAACTCATCACTCTACATCAACTTCATCGATTACGAGAAGGCATTCGATAGCGTGGACAGGACGACACTGTGGAGGCTTCTTCGACACTACGGCGTGCCTGAGAAGATAGTCAGTATCATACGGAACTCCTATGATGGACTAAACTGCCAAATCGTCCACGGAGGACAACTCGCCGATTCATTCGAGGTAAAGAGCGGTGTTAGACAAGGTTGCTTACTCTCACCGTTTCTCTTTCTCCTGGTCATCGACTGGATCATGAAGACGTCAACGACTGGAGGAAATCACGGGATACAGTGGACAGGCAGGATGCAGCTTGACGATTTAGATTTCGCGGATGATCTGGCTCTTATATCACAAACGCAACAACAAATGCAGGAGAAAACGACCAGTGTAGCAGCAGTAGGTCTCAATATAAACAAAGGGAAAAGCAAGACTCTCCGATACAATACAATATGCACCAATCAAATTACACTTGATGGAGAAGCTTTGGATACCTTTACATACCTGGGCAGCATCATTGATGAACACGGTGGATCAGATGCAGATGTGAGGGCGCGGATCGGCAAAGCAACAGCAGCATACCTACGACTGAAAAACATCTGGAGCTCAAAACAATTGTCAACCAACACCAAGGTTAGAATTTTCAATACAAATGTAAAGACAGTTCTACTGTATGGGACGGAGACGTGGAGAACTACGAAAGCCATAATCCAGAAGATACAAGTGTTTATTAACAGTTGTCTACGCAAGATACTTCGGATCGGATGGCCAGACACTATCAGCAACAATTTACTGTGGGAGACAACAAATCAGATTCCAGCGGAGGAAGAAATCAGGAAGAAGCGCTGGAAGTGGATTGGGCACACCTTGAGGAAATCAGCTAATTGCGTCACAAGACAAGCCCTCACATGGAATCCTGAAGGTCAAAGGAGAAGAGGAAGACCAAAGAACACATTACGCCGAGAAATAGAGATAGACATGAGAAGAATGAACAAAACTGGATAGAACTAGAAAGGAAGCCCAGGACAGAGTGGGTTGGAGAAAGCTGGTCGGCGGCCTATGCTCCATTGGGAGTAACAGGCGTAAGTAAGTAAGTTAAGGACCAGATTAACCCATAGCACTCCATTGTGTTGCTTAATTGGTGTGAGACATGGTCACTAAGATCACAAGATATTTCTGGGTTACTAGTACTTGACCATAGGTGTCTTTGAAGTATCGCCCATGTATTTTGAAATAACCGACTGAACAATCTTGAGGTTATGTGTAGGCTACCAGGTCAGATGGCAAACCCATCGATGGTAGTGAAATTCCATCGACTGAGGTGGTTGCGACACATTTTACGTATACCTAACCACCACCTACCTCGGTCAGTGATGTTATCTGGTGCAAGAGTAGACTGAAAGTAAGCTAAGGTCCAACACAACAAGGCGTAGCATACTGCTGTGAAGTCATTGACAACCGGACTGAGTCACGTCGAAGGGTTTAGGATACCTGGCTGGAATCTAGGTGATCACTGTGTTGATATAAGTCAATAAGTAACTAAGTGGACCTATGTAATTCGAAGCATCAGATCACTCAACTGGACTAACTAACAACATAAATTACTGAGTTGCATATCTGCCTATTCCTGACAGTCTTCATACTATGTGTATCGCATCGGAGATTCTTAAAATTCCTAGCTGATATTTAGGCCTGATAAACAACGGAAACCTATGTTGTCGAGTGTCCAAAAACTACCATCAGAATCTACTGATAGGCTTCGATCACTATTTGAAAGGTATGGGAGAAAGAAGTGCTGGTTCAAATAGACATCATAAATTGAGCTAAGAATAGAAATTTGACATGTCCTTCTGATAAAGTGTTGGAAGTGCACATTACAGACAAGTGAGCCCCGATAGGCCGATCAATGTAGAGCCTGATACAAATATGCATGTATATGTCCAGAACTTCAAAAGCACCGTATGATTTTAGTGTTGCAATGTTCAGTGTGTTTTAGCAATCTGCAAATGACTGGCTCCTTAACTTCGAAAACTAAAGTCAAATTTTCTGTTTTCGTAGACTATTTCAATGTTTTCCGAAACACAATGTAGATCTGAGGCAAGGCTGAGACCACGTTGTGTACTAAGAGAGCATGTAGAGTAGCCCGAGTCAACAACCTAGCAAGTGCACATAATGCACTTACCTTCAATATGAATTGCAAAAAGCAATAATCAGTAATAACACAGGCCTGAGATTAAGACAATCTAAGAGTCGAAACTAGGAGCAGATGGTTTAAGCCGCTACAATCCACCTTACTTAGTTCGACCAGGAATCAGGGTAGAGCCACTAGTTCATACAGAAAACTGCGTAGCTCGAAACCAACTACACAAAGCTATCAGTAACCTACATAGTTATCGAAAATATTAAATTCAAAACATTAAATGCATCTCAAAAGAAGTCTCAAACGGTCAGTTTCACATAATTCTCTTATTAGTTGTTGATATACACTGAAAAATTATTGACATGAAGCGATACATCACAAATAAAAAGCAAAAGCAGTTAGCAACCCTTTGAGACAATAAAGAAGAAACCTCACTCAGTAGGTGTTAGTCATTACTGTGTTAGGACCATTCCTAAGTATACGCTTATAGGTCGTCTACAAGGAAAGCAAATAGCACACAAAAGCAGTATGTATGCACAATTCATCCAAGAGAATCGAAAAAATCAGGTTCTTTTTTATCAGTCACCCAACCAAAACAGCGTTTCATGTTTGTCGCTTATTTTATGTCACGAACATAGTTGCTGTCAACAACGAGTGTAAAGTGAGTATAAAATGAAGATGCTCAACATTCAAACAAGACTTAATCTGAAATATCCTGTTAAGAACTGAATGACAATATCGGTTATGGAAAAACAGTGGGATAACCCGTTGAAGTAAGTCCGAATAAAACATGGACCGAAATGCGAGGGTGAACTCAAAACAAAATATGGAAAAAGCCCACGATTTTTATTCAGCTGGTTCCAACTTTGCATGCATTGGATATTTAGTCCTGTGAAATCCCTAAATAACAGCTAGACGCGTTAAAATGATTCCTGCTAGTACGTTAACTAACTTCATGAAAGAATATTAAAGCCTAGGCCTTGTAGTTGAGACCCATGACTTTCATTTTATTTCGTATCTTGAAAGTATCGCATAGTGACATGTTTGTGGAATGAACTGTAAGTGCTGATTTAATTTTTCTGACCCTATTAATAGAGTTAGGATCTAGGCTTAAGGAGTTCTAGTCCTATAGGCGGTATTGTATGAGCGCTTAAGGGTCAGGATCTTTGCTGTAGGAGTTTTAGGACAACAAGGTATGGTCTGAAAGATTAAGGGTTCGAAATTAGGATTTAAAGAGTGTAAGCCCATACACCTTGTACACCTTGGAATTACTTGATCGCGCGCTATTCGAACGGGAAGTTTAGTCCTAACGTGATTTACATTTCTCAGAATTTCGCTGTGTTCTTACGCAACAAAAGTATCATTTCCAATCCAAAGAATCTATTCTGAGCTATACGTTCGGTAGATTACTTCTTTTTTGTGTTTCACTCAACACCTTGCAAGCAACCAATAAATGGGAAATAGAAACAAATTCTGGAGGATGAAGGGGGATATCGTAAGTAAAGAGGGAGTGCCAATTTTCCCCTTAAATCCGGTTACACAGAGGAAAAGAAGACGATTTAGAGGAACTTTAAACATAAGCGACAACAAGAGGGAGGTTTCGCACTACTTCACCATAACAAGTGTAAAATGTGACTTTGACTCACGTCCGCCTGTAGTTCCCTCCTACTTCTCCACCGAATCTCCCCTTTAATTAACTCTTTTCCGCCTACATTGCTCCATCTTCGGTTACTTAAACTTAGCCCATGGGTTATGAGTTATGGTATAGCTGAATTAAAGTAGAACGATTTACAATCTAAACTGTAGGGATACACCGCTATCAAGTTCATTCATAGTATTAAAACTCCTAATCACTTATATCCACATCATCCATCTATGTATTAGAGTGCTTATAGGTAAGTTGCATTCTGACTGGCTATTTTTGAAAAGCCATCTCTAGGTCGTCCCGGAAATATTTTAAGGTCGTCAGTTTACTATAGTTTAACTCTTCTTGTCATCTGCGACTAGTGGGAGTTTCAAGATGTTGAGAAACCTCACTTTCATGGACTTGGCAACTGATCTGAAGGTGAAGAACTCACCCGTGGTTCGAATTAGTCCTGCCTACAGATGTCTCTCAATTGACCTAATTTGATTTTACACGTATCGACAGACAGAACCACAACTACGTGTTCAGTTAAGGAGTTCCATTCGTTTATGATTCGTTTCAAAAAGGGCAGGGATTTCGTACATGTTGTGATTATCATTGTTTTTGTGTACTTGTTGCATCAAAAAGCATTCTTGGTCAACTTTAACTTGACTTATTTCGGTTAAAATTTGAAATTTTGTTGAAAACTTTGTCTCTTGGTACCTTTATCCTCATTGACATTGCCACTTGTGTTTCTATTGTAATCATATTGTGTTTTAAACCGTAATGTGATTACAATGGTTTGCAGTACTTGCAAATGTGGACAGCCGGACTGTTAATTACTCGTGGGTTGAGGATACGACGGATATTCTAGTTTTGCAACTAGCAACCAGTAGTATCTTCTATATTCGATCGTTCCCGGCCAAAGAAAATCAGAAGTCAGACGAGAAGAAGTAGGAAACATATATTTGATTCGTTACCAATATATCGAGAGGCGTACGTTCTTAGCTGA